CTGTACGTATGTTCCGAATAGAAAACTCCATTTCTGAACCGATCCGGACCAAACTTGGCACACATACACTAAGGGCCCCGGCGGGTGTCATAGGCTACTTTTCGTCATCGATCGATATCGATTTTATCGATTTTTATCGATTTTTTTGCTGAGTTCACCTACGGGGCTGGGAGTTGGCACAGGGGGGTAATCGAGCATGGGGATTCCGGATACAATATTGGTTTTCAGGATTATCGATTACTTTTATCGATTTTATCGATTTTTTGCAAAGTTTGAGCTAGGGGGCTGGGAGTTGGCACAGGGGGGTAAACGAGCATGCTGATCACCCCCAAGGGGGGTGATCAGCATGCTCGATTACACTCCTGTGCCAAATTCCAGCCCCCTAGCTCAAATTTTCAAAAAATCGATAAAATCAAAAAAGTAATGGACGATCCTGAAAACTAATATTGTGTTCGTAATCTGCATGCTCGATTACCCCCTGTGCAAACTCCCAGCCCCGCAGGTCAAACTTTACAAAAAAAATCGATAAAATCGATAAAAGTAATGGACGATCCTGAAAACTAATATTGTGTTCGTAATCTGCATGCTCGATTACCCCCCTGTGCAAACTCCCAGCCCCGCAGGTCAAACTTTACAAAAAAAAATCGATAAAATCGATAAAAGTAATGGACGATCCTGAAAACTAATGTTGTATTCGGAATCCCCATGCTCACTTCCCCCCCTGTGCCAACTCCTAGCCCTGTAGGTGAACTCTGCAAAAAAATCGATAAAAATCGGTAAAATCGACATCGATCGATAACGAAAAGTGGACTGTGACACTTGCCGGGGCCCGAAGTGTATGTGTGCCAAGTTTGGTCCGGATACGGCGGAGCCGGGTAAGCCAGCTAGTATATATATATAGATTTGTGAGTTTGTCTGGAGTCGTTTCAAAAAAGTGCTTGGCGAAGCTCGTGGGTAGTGATCTCCAAATATTTACGAACTAGATAAAAAATCCATAACTTCTGTAGATGAATATCTTATACATCGGGATGGCTAAATTCGGAGCCGTCTTGTCCTCAACTTTCCAAGGTAAATAGTTTGCCTGGAGTCTTTGAAAAAAGTGCCTGAGGAAGGGTGTGGGTAGTGATTTCTGGATGTTTACGAGTTCTAAGAATAAAAAAATTCATAACTTCTGTAGATGAACAGTTTTTACAAGAAAATAGTCATCATTGGAACCGCCTCGTCCTCCGCTTCCAGAGTATATATAACATGTCTGAGATCCGTCCAAAAAAGTGCCTGGGTGAAGGGTGTGTGCCTAATGATTTCTGGAGATTTTCGAGTTTTCAATATAAAAATTCATAACTTTTGTTGATGAACATCATGTACACCTAGATAGTCACCATTGGAACCGCTTCGTTCTACGCTTTCAGAAAATTTATAGTTTGGCCGGGGTCCGTTAAAAAAAGTGCCGGATGAAGAGTGGGTGAGACTCTTGTAATGGAGTTCTCAAGAGGCCTTTTTACCATTTTAAAAGAACGTCTACTTGACTACCATTATAAGAGTCTCAACCACCCTTTACCCGGCACTTTTTTCAATGGACCCCAAGCAAGCTATATATTTTCTGAAGGAGGTAAAAACGCGAAAATCTTCAGAAATCACTAGGCACACACTTTACCCAGGCACTTCTGGGCGGATCTCAGACATGCTATAGAATTTCTGAAAGCGGAGGACGATGCGGCTCTACCAGTGACTATTTCCTTGCACCAGCTGACGGTCTCAGATATGCTATATATTTTTTGAAAGCGGAGGACGAGGCAGTTCCGAAGGTGACTATTACCTTGTATCAGCTATCCATCTACAATATATACTTTTTTTATGTTGAAGACGCGTAAGTGCCCAAAAACACTAGGCACAGCTTTCACTGAGTACTTCTATGAACAAACTCTAAGCAAACTATTTATTCCCTGAAACCAGAGGAGAACATTGTACCACGAAACTTTTCTCGCTGACGTTGCTGTGCAGCTACAGAAGATACTACCTTTTTCCTCTTGGAAGTTCGTGAATGGCTATAAATCTTCTTGCTTCTTTCCGATACACAAGCAATTTCCGTACAAACATCTCCTTTGCTTAACCTTACCTCACTGTTGATTTTTTCCTCGACATTTGGTGGAGGGGGCCACTTTGGTCCCCGTTTAGGGGTGAAGAGGGGTGAGGCAAATTCTCACACTCGCACCTATGTTGACGATCGCCAGTTTTCGGAGAATACACGTTTGATATGTATCGATTTGACGTGTTATAACTTGTTTGCGATCAATAGGTATTAGGTTGGCACATAAGTAATGCAACTTTTTATATGACTTTTGTCTCTTTGAACATAGCGCATTCTTTTTTGGCAATATAAGGATTATGATGTAAGCTTCTAATGCACACATTTTTGCCGAATTTCACCGTCATATGTAAAGATTACGATAGCTTTACGGTATTAAACTTTTTAGAATGCATCAGATTTTGCTGAAACCTGACCTATAGGACTCATTCGACATGCTGATTACAAAAATGACATCCGTTTCGCATGAAAAGGCCTCATTTGTGAGATCAGAAAATGAATTCCATTTTAGCGACAAATGAATATGATATTCGTGTTCACCGTATAGGATTACTCTACATGCAAAGTTATAGCGAATTCCAACTTTTCGCAGCTTATTGACAAGTTGCCTTTAAAACTTGACGCATTTGACTTGTTCAACTTCTCATAGGCGCTCCACCTTTACTTGTGTTTGAATTTCGTTTCTTTTTTTACTGATTGCAATGTGCCCACTTCTAGCTACATGCTGCTTATATTTGCTTTTTGGTATGTTCAATTCAGATTTCGAACCTTTCAAACCTCGGTTGCAGTTTTCAAAAAATGCTTGGATTTTTGTACTACGTTATCAAAAATTAAATCGTTTGAGCAGACTTGCAACTTACATCACGATCTACATGACGCCACAAAATGAGATCGCTACATAAAACAAGAGAAAAGTTACGGGAAAAGTTGCAAAACTTATGTGCCAACCTAATATTTGAAGTACAGTCGCCGATATTAGCGATTCGCGATCAACGACAAAAATCGCCGGTTTTACACGTATTTGATGTGTATGGATCGTCACCATGCTTCTGTATGGATCGTCACCATCCTCCTCTTCGAGAAGTATAGCCTACTTAAGTGCAGGTCCCAGCACAAAAAGTTTCCATTTGTCCTGTCCCTTTTGCATTCAGAATCTCCTCGCTTATTCGGTGGCTGATACAGCAGTTCCAAGTATCAGGTGGTATCCAGCTGATATCTGCTCGATTTTTCGTTCTCCAAACAATTCTTTGATCTGCTTAATATGCTATCTTGGGGTTTGCTTCGCTAATAATTTGCGCTGATGTTCCTAGTGTCCACCAGTCGACTGTTTCGTGATATGGACTGCCCATCGGTGCTTGGCGAACAAAGAATTTCGCCGGATTAGAAGAAGGCACATGCTTCTCATATGCGTACTGTAATGCCCAGCTGCGTAACAGGTTTTTCAAATCCCTCTATGCAATGTTCACGCAGATCTAAACAGATTGACTTATCATTGTATAAGTACCGCACCTCCGCCTCCCACTATATCAGAAGATGCGCCGCACCGACTTGAATTGAATGGTGTCCTTGAAGGCAGTGGATCGGCAAAACTAAACAACTCAGGATTTTAGCGTAGTAGGTTGCTTATCGCCCAAGTATGAGAACATTGCAATCCCGGTCGCATAGCATGCCTTCCCTATCGAGAAAATTGCTCTTAAACTTACACGCGCAGGCCAATCTTACACGCGTCCGGACAAGTTGGCAATTCTCCTCTCACCATTGGAGGCTGCCCGCCGCAATGCTATAACCATTGGGTCCCGCAGCGATTGAGCATCATCAGCCTTGCTCAACTCGTCCAATTTCACAGCGAAGGGCATTGGAAAACGCTCGATTTCGCCGTTTTCAAGCCATCTAAAGTAGATTTTCGGAATCAGCGCATTGGATAACCCCAGGTAAGCGAAAATTTGACTTGGCTGAGATTTGCCGAGCCACTGCCTTTAAAGTTCGTCCACTCTGAAGCAAGATATGGGTACTCTACGGCGATCTCACATGGGAGGCGACCGTCGCCCGCGTACTAAACAACAATACATTTCAATTCCCTCTTCTCCATTTAATAAACAGAAAAGTAAGTCTTCGTTTGTTGCAACAGTGCAACTTCGCCATCGAGAAACGTATTAATCTTTCGAGAAGATAGCTTTGCCGATAGTTAACACTTTTCGGACTCCGTGTATTGAAATGAGTGCTTTCGTGTACATCTTGTATAAAAAAGCCGCGGCGACCTAGGGCACTCCATTTGTAAGAAAATTTTATTGGCAAATAAAGAACGCGCAGCTGTTATAATAATCTATCGAAACAAATTTGGTTGTCTGTTTGTCTACCTTTGTTATGTTCCGAGCAGAAATTTTGTTTTTCAGCCGAACCAGACCAAACTTTGCACACAAACACTTTAAAAGTGGATGGGCGCCACAAGCTACTTTTGGTGATCGCTCGATAATCTAGGAGCTTCGACAAACTTTGAACTACAGGGCTAATACTTGGTGTAGGGGGAGGATTGAGCGAGCAGTCGTTTCAAAGGAGTAAGAAAGCATGCTGGTTGCAAAAAAAAACATTACTTTGGGAAGATACTAAGTGCATTTATTAGCAACTTTTTTTGAACTTTAGCTCCATCGCTGCATCAGGGGGGGGGGAGAGAGAAGTAAACGTGTTGTTTACGAAGACAAGGTGAGGAAGAGAAGCGATAAATAGAGTCGCGGCAGGGAGTGGTAAAAAAGAAGGGTGTTGCGTAGAGTGCGTAGAATTAGAACGCAATGCTAGTGGGACGAAATAAGCTATCATATTATGTCAACAAGAAACGAGCAGAACCGCTAGTGTCCGTAAGACGTCAGAAAAGATGTTATTTTAGGTTTATCCTGTGTTTTACAAACGTCCAGAAACTATGCATGTGGACTGCCGCCGTATCTTAGCAAATGACATAGTGAGTTGAAGCTGGTGACTTTTCTCACTACAAAATTGAGCATGGTAATATTTGAGAGTTACCTGAAAACAATCGCTAAAAAGAGACCAACGCTTTGTGAAAGAAAACATTCAAGGGACATGAGCTGCGAAACAATCAGAAGCAGAGTGCTTCCACCAGTTCAGGAAGAGCGTTTGGAATTTGGAATCGCTCACGTGCGAATCGTCTATGAGGTAATTTTCAAAAAAGCTTTCAGTGCTTACCCATCAATGCAAGTCCTGCTTTGCTCCACAAAAATATTTAGCAGCAAGATCAGGGAACCTACAATTCAACTGAATTTATTACCGAATTTTTGACGCAAAATGCTGCGGTCATCCTCTACACAGCTTATCAGTTGCAGAGTCGGGTGAATCACAATCTCCTATTCCGCGCGTCCGCCTCCCATGAATCCGCACCTTTTTTTGCAAACATGCTTCTCTTCACTTTTCCTCTTTTCCTTCCTCCCACGGGCATGGGAAAGAGGGAGCTTTATTCGTTAACTGAACCTGCGAAGACGAGCATATTTGCGGAGGAGGTGCAGAGTCCAGGCGAGGAGGCCACGCGCGAATGAAGATGCTGGTGCCGACACTGCAACTGATAAGCCCTTTACGAAATACAGTTTGAAAAAACGGTTCTCATATGTATATGCAAGAGTTACGAAACCGTACCTTTACAAAGAGATACCATTTTTGAGGCACGTGTTCATTGAATATTTTTATTTTTAGAACTATGTATTCATTGAAGAAGAGCTAAGATCGAGTTATCACAGTCAAAATCATTTCTGTTACTTTCTCGACAAAAAGGCTGATACCTTATTTAAAACACGAATGCATTTATTGGATGAGTGTTTCCCCAACGTTTACATACCACACAGTAAGCGTTCATAAAGTCGCCATGATGTATCAATCAACAGATTTGTTTCAGAGCAACTAAGCATAGATGCATGGGGACATTTCATGTTTTTTGCTTATCACGAATGTTTGAAAGTTTTGACAGAAGTGGATGGCTGGAAGTATGCTCTGCTGTTACAAGTAAGCGTAACATACAAATAAGCCATAAAGTTCTATCAAGTGCTTTTCTCATTGCAAACTTTTGCAGAACTATGACCTTGTTATCAAGTCCGTTAAAGAATTTATAGCTATTTACAACATATTAGGCGGTGCTAACGATATCCCACTCCATAAGTGTGAAACAAGATGTCAGAATTTGGACAAACAAAAATGGGATGCAAAAACTCTTCGCTTTTATAACGGTAAGAGAAAGACTTGATTTAGTTCAATTTTTTTTTCTGGCACACTATAACTCACTGCATCTTTAATTTTTGTGCTTGCTTGTTTATTTCATAAGTATAGGGTGTTTGAAAAGTTCGTGTCCTTGAGCACTTTAACTGCGAACGCTGATTCAATTTTTGCTGTATGTGTTCGCCAAACCTAGAAACCACTGAATCAACAAAGAAAAATATTTTTTGCCTCAAGATACCCCAAAAAATTTGGAAGTAAACAATTCTTTCAGCTTTCTTGGAGAGTGCGTTATCTATATTGTCCTTTTTTTTCAACGCCGGAAAAAGAAAACAGCTTTTGATTTTTTTACTACAAATAGTTCTACATTTATACTTTCTTCATATAACAAAAGTTCTTCAGTAGCTTGCTAACGAAGATTTTTTTATGCGCTGAATTACAGCAGGCAGTTGCAGCACCCATTTGCGTTGAAATTTTTTCAGTTTGAAAAAAATTTTGAAAGCCTTATTTCAATATGTACTTGTAGCACAGCTCTCTGACCTTCGTTATATGGGTTGTCCCGAAAGTTTTGTCGGTTTTTTTCATCGCTCACCAAATCTCACAGAACACCATTCCGTGAATGGCCTAGGTGTCATTCTATTCACATTTTTATCCTCTTTCTTATAGATATATGTGTTCCCTGATCTACCCCGTCTTTGCGATGTTATCGCCATGGCTTTTTGAGCACCTCAGCAGTAACGCCAAAACTTTCCTGAATTTTCGAAATTTTTATCCTGATATTTTCGACGAGCGCTGGTGACTTTTATGTAGGGCAGACCTTTGGCTACATTGTACCCATTTTAGATTACGTGGGTCACGTTTATCAAGTCCGTAATAATTATTTATTTGAGAAAAACCGCGGCTTTTTGAACACGCTCTACCACGTAAAATTACCGAAAATTCCAAAAAGCTGTTTTTGAAGCAAATCAAACTTGGTTATGTTGCATAAATGATGTTTAATAACAAACAAGTTTGAATTCGCAAAAACTTCAAAAGCTTTCATGCTTTTGCTGCAATTGCGCGTTTCATGACTTTGCTCAAAACCAAGACCTCCAGAGAAAAAATTTTTTGAAGTTAAAATCAGCATATTAGGAGAATCTAAAAATACCGCCGTAGCCCGAGAGTTGTTCTATTTGAGCCATACTTAGCCTTTTCCGAAACTTATTGATGAAATTTTTGGAAATTAGCTCAACTTTGAGTAGGTAAAACTGACAGGTGGAGAATCTCGACAATTACCAAAGAAAGCATATAACATTATGGTATGAATGTGCATCCATAAGAAAGAGAAGGAAAAGCTGCATCGAATGCATGTTAAAACTCACTCAGGTCTTTATTGTGCGTGGTTTTACAGTGGTCTGAATAAACCGACAAAACTTTCGAGACAACCTAATATTTGTTTTCAAAAATTTTGCAGGCTTGCAAAGGTTATGAAGATAAAATATAAAAATTTCGGTGCTGAACTTTTTTTACGAAAAAATCATATTTCAAAACGAACTTACTTCTACGAAAGTAAAAGCACAAAACCTTAAAGAAAGGGCTTTCAGCAGGTATACCAAGTTTTTTGTGAATTATGTTTCCTTTCTTGTAACAAGCATTTTAAGGAAAGAGGTTTGGAAAGCTGTACTGATGTGTTTCAATCTAATAAAAATTCAAAGAAACCGCGAAGAGACTTGATTTCACTGAAATTATGGTATTTAGGTCTGATGAGCACAATAAAGCAAAAAGCGCGTCAAAATTCGAATTGGAAGCACTTTAAGACACGAACTTTTCAAACACCTTGTAAAACATTTCCATACTTTTGCGCGGAATATTTCATCCGTAGATTGTGCGTTATCAACAAAATTGTAAAGGCTGTTGCATGAGAAGGCGCAGAAGCGGTATCAGCTGAACGGGTGCGAACGCGACGCGCGCGTATCCTCACTGTTGTAAATCCTGCGCCTCATGCGCTCTGCGGCTAATAAAGCGCGATCGCGCCCAAAGGTATTGCGCCTTCGTCATGCAGCAGCCTTTACAATTTTGTTGATAACGCACAATCTACGTATGAAATATTCCGCGCAAAAGTATGGAAATGTTTTACAGGGTGTTTGAAAAGTCCCTGTCTTAAAGTGCTTCCAATTCGAATTTTGACGCGCTTTTTGCTTTATTGTGCTCATCAGAACTGTATTCTATTCTGCATGTTGCATAGCCAGAAATGCGGAGCGAATTTGTACGGAAACAAATGGGATACTTGAGTATTTTGTAGTAACGATCTATTCACGAGTAGTTGTTCAAGATTCTCTTCAAGATTCTCCTCTTATATGTAAAGCGCAGTTTCTATTTTTGAGCGAATCCAAACAACTTTGCATAAATGCATCCTGCACCGTAGATGCCGAATTATAGTAGAGGTGGAGGGAAAAGGATTGGTAACTTTTAGCTATTGCTTTTCAATAGTTTGACGAAACCATGTTGAATGTGCCTTATTCCCCCGCTTGTAGACTTTTCCCTTTTCTTGGTAAGCCTACACTTTGCCGAGTTCTCCCAACAGCAGAGGCCTCCAAAGCTTTTCGCTCCGGTCATGATCGCGTTTGAAGCTACGTACACGGCGTATGCTGCCGTAATGAAGCGTACTAAGCGTAGCTCTGTACATCGCGTTCTCCGAGTAAATGTTCAGTCCGAGTCCCATTTTTCGGGCAAGCGAAATCAATATCTTCTGTTTTTATTCACCCTTACATGTGGAGAGAGCCAATTGTTATTTACAAGGGTTACTTTTCTAGAAAAAAGCCTCGAAAAGTAACAAAGGAAGAAAGGTCCAGGAATGGTAGTAATTTCGAACTATTACGACAAGACTACAATACCGCTCATAATTCGTCAAAAAAGTCGCCGGATTGCGGCGCACTCCGCCACACTCCGGCGCACTGTGGCGGAGTGTGGCGGAGTGCGCCGCAGTCCGGCGACTTTTTTGACGAATTATGAGCGGTATTGTATGGTAATCACGATCGTTTTCTGGCTGCCGCTCAGTTCAACAAGTCATACAAAATTTGTAAACAAGCGTATAATAAGCAGTAACAAATCGTTTCGTAATCTTAATTCAACCTGAATTTGGAAGTTACGAGCAGGTGAACACCATTATTTGTTACATAGAGTAATAAATAAAACTAGCATTTATTCTATGAAACGCAGATGTAAAACTGTCACAACGTTGTTCAAATACTTTCGTGTGAAATAATGCTGTGATGTTTTGGAAGCTTCACTTTCTTTTTACCTGGGCATAGTTCTTACTCTTGAAGTGCTTGTGACAATCAGGTTGTTATTTGTTCTTTATTTCCAATCGTGGCTCAAAGTTTTCACACTCTTTCGTTCTCCTCGGAGGCCGGCCTCTTAATCTTCCTTCCGTAAAAATTGCTGTGTTAGAAGAAAGACGTACCCTGTAAACACAGCTACACAAGATTCCGCACCGAAACTGGCCTTGGCGGGTGAACTATACCATATGGTACATATGTGATCTGCAGTTTGAATAATGTGAAGGGAAAGAGGTCCGGGTGAATGGAAACACCTATTCACATTGCTTATTGCTTCTTTGCAAAAATCTGGAATATTCTTGACTGTTTCATTGCAAAAATGTCCTTTCCACGTGCCATGATTTCGCATTAGGCCCCTGACAGACTTCACGCGATTTGATCGTCGCGACTGAATCTCGACGAGACAACTGTTACAACATCATTCCATGCCGATCAACTTGCATTTCGGTTGTGATACTTTTCCAGCCCGAAATTTTTGAATGTAAAATGGAAATGAATGGAAATGTCGGCGATTGAGTCGCGACGATCAAATCGCGTGAAGTCTGTCCGGTGCCTTAGGCGTGTGAAAAGTTTCTCACTTGAGCCATATTCTCGCACTCAAGTGATGTGAATGGTAAGCACATTCGGACTCGCTCTAATCACGAGCTCCTCAGAATATCATAAACTGTAAGCGTCGCGGTGTTCAGTGTAGCTTCTGATGCTGAATCTGGGATTTCAAAGAAAGTCAAGATCGACCGCTTTTGTGGCCCTAATGAGGAACGTTGGGTTGAAGATATTGAAATTATCGAAATCCATGAAGAAGCTTTGTTCTACGAATTTGTCGGAAGTGCTGAGGCTTGGGCGTCAATGCTGGTGATGGCCTTCGGGTGCTCGAAGTAGGCGACAGCAAGTTTCTAAAAGTAAATTTAGTGAGAAAATGCTTTTATTAACCTTTACATTTGTTTTTTTATTTCCCTTTTTATTAGTTAGTGATTAAAAAAAGATCTACTATTTCTCCACTGGCGGCCTCCAACCAATATATTGAAAAGGGCGAATGTGGAGAATCATGACTTATAATAAGGATTGTTTACGTCTGGTTTTGTCTGTGTGTCTGTCTGTCCGTTACGAGATTCGTAGAGTAAGTTTAGGAAAAGTCTTGAGCCCAAATTTTGCATGGATGGCGCATGCTTGCAGTATGAAAGTCCAATGTGCAAAAGCGCGAGCAAATCTGTTAAGTGGATCCCTCAAAACTGCTCTCAAATGGATCCACTTGGCTTCTGAAACTCACTTTATGTGTATAATTGTCAGTTTCTATTAGGTTGTTCCGAAAGTAATGTCGCTTTTTTCAAATGAACGCCACATTTCATGGAATCAAGGTTTTCAAGAAATCTTGGGAGCATTCGATGCAGCATTTCATAGTCTTTCTAATAGTCGCAATTTCATTGCGTATTATCTAATGAGTTCTCGAAAAGTTACTAAAATCTGCGACTCATGCTTTTTGCCATGGTCAAGTTCGGTTATTTTTTCTAAATTTTTATACCTATTCTGCGAAGAAGTACAAGTAACGGGTAGATAGAGCAAATGCTATAGGACACAGAGAAATTTTTTTCTTTCCCTTAGCTTGCTTGTTAGAGTTTCTGGAACCAATTCCATCAAATTCGTATTTAGTCAACTCAAACCTCACAGAACAACAACCAGCAAGAAACTAGGGTGTCATT